TTCAACTTCACACAGCCATATGCAACATCTACAATAAAACAGAACTTAGGAGTCAAAGCATAAACATATATATTGCAGCCTTTCAGAATGGCTTGAAAACAAACCAATTTTTCTAGGGAGGAGGGGGGAAATCAGTAAAACCTTATACACAAGTAACTTCTGAAGTAGTATAATAAATAACCTCTAACTACAAAGTTATTTCAAAACTTTGGGTCACTGTCAGTAAATGTCAGTATTCTCTTAAGCACCGGCAGCCCGATTTTCAAAAGGAAGGAAACCTATCTTTGCCGTCCAACTTGCCTTCCAAAGCAGCGGCACAGGGAATGAATGCTTTGACCTGAGATGAAGCAGAGTTCTAATACAAGTTATTATTTACTTGTGACCTTAAACAAGTTACTTATTTTCCATACTTTAATTTCCTCAGCCATAAAAAGAGCATGACAAATGAACTCTTTGGCGTAAGGAAATCGCCACAGAACTGCAACTCAGGCACTACCCAATTTGGAGAAAACTTTCTTTAATTAGCATACATAGTAAGGTATAATAGTATTTGTTAACATCCTGCTTTTGACCCTGTATAAAAATGGCATTCAAATACTCATTTCTTCTCCTCCTTTCTGTGTGTATTAAAATCTCTCAGCCTCCTTGCTTGTCCATTAAAAGATATCTAGATTGTGCTCTGCTGGTGTCTGCCTCACAAGCTACTATAAATTCCCCTTTCCATTCTATTTCCTTTGTTGTCTAGCTGTTTTAAAACACAGTATTTTAAACCATCATCCTGTCCCTGAAACATTCTCATGACCAGCAGAAATCCCTTCTCTGGATTCCAGAATCCTTACTCTTCTAACGCTAGCTCCTCACACTAGCTCCTGTGATGAAGGCTCCATAACTGCGCAAGCTAAGTTTATACCCGCTCTTACTTTCGTTTTGTAGTCTTCCACTCCTTTCCTCATAATCTGATTCTCAGTTCACGTCTTTTCTTTCCATTACATTCATCTACAACCACCCATCTATGTGTATCAGACAATGTCAATCACATCTTTCAAACCCCACCCTAAATTTCCCAGTCTTTGGCCTGCCTTCTGCAACTTCAGACTACCTAAATGTATGTGTATCTGCTACCTTATTAGATTCAGCATCTCTTCTTAAAGACAGGAAATGTATGAAAGAAAAACTAAATTTCACCTTCTGCTTTCAGCAAGCTCTTCTCAACACTAAACCTTTTCCTGATTTTCAGTCATCTCTTCTTTCACAATGGGGAACAGCCTTTTGCAAATTAACATTCATTACCAAAATCTGTATTTTAATTAACATGACAACATCATTTAGCATGGCCAGGAATGTGCATTCATAAATACACGAACATTTTAGATACTGCTTTAAATATGCAACTTCTAATTTTAAAACTTTTCCTGAAAACAATTTTATATTTAGTAAGGCACCATTCCCAAATAAGGTATTATACAAGCAGTACTAAAATACAGATATTTCTGTACTGTAACTCTAAAGATGTGTGGGAAATAGCCATTTTTCACTGCAGAACAGTGGAAGTAAAAAGCGAGTACTTTTCACAGTGCTCAACACTTTGTAAAACTGATCTCTTAGTCTATGTTACAGTAATACAACAATATGATAATGAATTAAGGTTTGTGATTTTTGTTGCAGAAATTTATTACCTGGCAGAACAGTGGTACTTTGCAAACCCAAATATTTTAGGATTACCCTATGGACTAGTGAAAATTTCTGTTACAGTAATGTACTGGTTGCTAGTGAAAATACATTTTCCAGATATCTTACTGAGTTCACTGAGAATGAATTATTTTGGTACAATAAAAAGCAAAGGATGCAAGCTTTAGTATATCCACTACATACAAAGACTCTTGTGAAGATCAACAATAGATTACCTGTGTTACTCATCAAGCTTCAGTTATTGTAGCTTTTCCAAAGCTACAATTTGAAATACATACAGTAACTTTCGGTCCCAAGATCTGAAAAGTTCACTTACTACAACCCACTGATAACAGAAAACATTGAGTGTTTCTAAGGCAAGGCATTCATGTCACGCAGGAATTCGCCAGTCTCTACGTATCAGAAGTAAATGATGTTGATTTCAGCACGCAAAGCAGAGGACTATCCAGGCGGTGCCGTTGCCAATATTATAGTGTTCACCTGAAAACTGCTATTTATAATCTACTAAAAAAGTGACACAGCATTTAGGTTACTTATTCTCCATGTGTTATTTAGTCTTTGTAAATGGAAACCAGCTATTTCACATACTAAACTTCTGACAGTGGTGTGAGATAGGAAAACAGTAAGATTAAAACAACTTTTAAATATGATTAAAAAGAAGTAGACATAAATAAAGCATTATATCACGTTTTAATTATTGATATATAAACAAAAAAGAGAATTGAGAGAAAAAACCTTATGTTGAGTATTTCTCTAGATGAAAAAAATAAAGTATCATACTTGGATTATTATTGTCTTTGACCCTTATAAATTAAAGGTTTTGTTTTGTGTTTTTTTAAAAAAACACTATCCGTTTCTATGCATCTCCAATTACCAATGAAGACAGGAAAGTTTTCACTTCTTTGTATTTGTTCTCTACTTAGTTACTTTTAGGTTCTCATTCACCGCCACAATATTGAGTAGTCTTAGTTGCATGCACATCAAAAACACTGGTCTTTTTTAACCAATGTTAAAGAGAAGGTTGAAATTTGCGTTCAGTTTGGTAAAACCTTACTGTTTCAAGACTGAATGTCACAACAAAATAGAAGTTCAAGTTTTGAGTTTATGCTATCCCCATTGACCATCCACTGTAAAGATGGTCTTCTATATGACAGTATAAATACATTTAAAAAAAGGCATGAGATCAGAACTATAATATTGCCAACTCTGAATCTAGCTTATAATTCAAGAATGATCTAAAAAGAATAGCTTTGACTACCCTGTAAGAAACAACTAATGAACTGAAAAAAAGGTGTTTGGAATGCAGATTATTTCCTAGTAGGAACAATTTTATTTTTTTCCATTTCGCTATTCACATTAGAATTTTATTGTATCTAAAACGCAGCTGAACAAGACAAGGTAGTGACATTAAGCCAATATTGATGCGGCAGAAAACAACCTTAAGTATCATTCTTGACTATTCTCTGACAACAGCTTATTCCTCTGTGGGGAGGGGGGTAGAAGGGTAAGACGGGAAATCTGAAAGTCTGCAGAGATATCCACCAAGGAACTACACAGAGGGCTTCAGGAGACGGGAGTCATATCTTGCACTTGCCCGAACCATGAGAATCGGCAGTTCTAGTTTGCCGCGCTGATACAGCATACAACTCTTTAGTCTTCTCTTTATTGTTTAAAAAAGAAAAAAAAAAAAAAACCACAAGGAAAAAAAACCACTACCACTTACAAATTTTGAAAGTTTTAACAATGAAAATGTTTTTTCCAGAATAAAAATATTTTTCTTAAGAAATAACAAGCTGAATAGTTGGTTGATGGGTTCTCACCAGGAAGATGCTGACATGAAATGGACTACAGAAAATGAGATTTATTCACCTGATAACAGAAGGGAAGTTAGTATTCGTATTATTTTCAAGTAGCTGGCTTTGTAAGAAAGTCATCAAAGAAAAGATTAAATCTTTCATCACACACAGAGACTTTAAAATGTTTAACAATGCTATATATTACAAGAACATGAAAAGTAAATAAACAATTAAACCAGTTATGAATTCAAAATAGTGAAAAGCTTCTGAAAACCTGTCACAAACCCAGGGGCTGCTACAATTAGTGTAGGACAAGTCTAACAAGGTATCTGTAGAGAAACGAGAACACTGGTGCAGTTCGGTTCAGCTGACAACTCCTTAACACCTGAATCACACTCAGCAGTATACAGTACCATAGGTGCAGAAGTGGATACAGACACTTACCTTAGAAGCCTTTAAGTTAATACTTGGATCTGTACTTGTCTATCATGGATCTTTGCGGGAGAGGAAGAAAATAAACTCCCTTGGAAGGGACCCCTGATTATCCTCCTCTGCACTTGGCTCCTCTTCTGCTGTCATATTTATTACATTTTTTACCTCCACAGAAGCTGTAAGGCCCGTTTTCATCCTTTATTAGGTGAAAGAATATTTGGCATTTGAGGCTTACTCTGCTAGCCAACAGTTTCACCAAAATTAATTCTACCTCCACAGAAATATGGATGTGAAAAGGTTCTATTCCGGTCTAGAGAGCAGCGAGGATTTGGGGTACACATGAGGCCTTTATGCTGAAAGAAGCCTCTGAAGAGATAATGTAGGTGTATGGGCCAGCTGGCTCCCTTGGCTACCTTCACAAAAAATGGGTATCCCACTAAGAAAATGAGAAAACCTTTGACAATATTAAGAACCACTAGTTGTTCTACAGCTCCCAAACCACCAGGAACGGTGCGAATTCCTAAAATAACATACAGTTAGAATAGTGTTTTTAATTCATTTTCTAAATAAATTTTTGGTTAGCATTTGTTTTGAAACTCTTCTGCAGTGTCAGTTCTCAGTGCACAAGGCCTCCTAACCCGATTTGCACAATTCCTTGCTTAAACAGAGAAGTTTGAAAGTTCTTCACACGGACAATCCAATACTGAGATTCGGCTTTCCAGGTGAAGGCTGAGCAACAGTGTTTCCAAGCAGCATTTCAAAATATCATGCAATAATACAATCTTCCCCACAGGTAACTCTCTCCATGAATCTAATTCAGTAGGTAAGCACATGGACGACATCCAGCCAAAGATACACCGCACAAAAGCATACTTCAACACAGACATTTTCATCTTTTTTTTCATCATCATGTTTTATCACTCACTGGAAATGACCAGTAACTCACTCACTAAGGTAACTGACCATTAAACTAAAATGCAATAGCTAAACACATTGTCATAGCTAACACAACACGGTATCTGTTCATGATCATGGAAATACTTGCGTTTCCTAAAACGCTTTAATTATACCTCTAAATATTACCTTTTCGTGAATTTCTTGTGTAGACTGAGCATCACAAAATGCCACTGTGGCTACATCCTTCAAAATAGGCATTTCTACTGTACAATCCCTGCCATCCAGCAACGCTACCAAAGGGCGCGGGTGCATGGGCCCATTCATGATCGGAGGTCGAATGCCTGTGAAGGAACAGAGAAGACTTGTTATTCAAGCCATGCAAATGTAATTAAAAAAATAGGTTATAGCTAGTCTGTTTATTCTGATGGCAGAAAAAGATTTCAAGGACTGAAGCTAGTAAAAAAGGAACAAGTTTACAGTCAGCAACCAACCACACACAGAAGACCTAAGAAAAAATGCCATGGAGGCTCAGAGGCTAAACAATGGAAGATGGATAAAACCACTAAGGGAATAGTATATTTCTTTTTTAAAGGGACATCCTTACTGCATTATTAAGAAGTGTCTGTGCAATCTTTATGCTTTGATTGGATTCCACACCTTTGTGAGCTCTACACAGAGTGAGAAATATCTTGTCCAGGCTTGTAAGAGTGTAGCTTATGCAAACTCTGTGAGGATTTGAGTGTTCAATTTACATATATGATGACGATCTGCTGAGACTAAAATTTAACTGAAAAAAGCCTACAGCATCAAAATATTGACTTTACTGAAGATCCAATGTCCAAGTGTACAGGCTAATTGCTGATCTATGTAGGTCTGCTTAGACTTAAAAGTTTTACAAAACAACTCTGTATAGCTTAGTCAAACAAACACATCATACTTAATTCACCATTGAAAACTCTTACAAAATATGAACAAAATGTCCCTCCCTAAGTCAACATCATGCTTGGAACATCGTAGAGTGACAAAGAAATACACATTAAATATCTGGGGGAAGGAAAATCAGTTGAAAGTGCAGAATTCATTTATATCCTCTTTATGGAGTCTTAAAATGAAAAGTAATCCTTGTAACAAGATATTTAGAGAGCATCTTTTTAACAGTATAGATGCTATAAATATACAAAATTACTCAAGGGAATAATATTAAACCATTACATTTACACAAAAGCAGTTAAGCGTGGGTGGAAAAAAAAGGGACTTCCTGAAGAGATAAGGAAAAGCAAAAACAAGAATAAAGTACATGATTTTTTTCCTCTCTTAAAATAAGTAGTTTTAAACACTGCAAAGTGAAGCAGGCTAGATATTTCTTTTATGCAAATTTCAACATATTTTTGTTGCAGTGTGAATTTTAAAACATTGCTTACTGCTTGATAATACAAGTTAGTCCCACATTATTGCAAAAGACTGAGGTTCCCCAGCTACCTTCTACAAGAAATCCCTGCACCTCATGTCCCAGCCTGTGTCAAAAAGCAAGCCCTGAAAGACTGTCATCTGCATTTTAAGTGGATGGAAAATTAGTAGAACCCCAGCTGAACAAGATACCTGGTGAAGAAAAACAGCTCCTGGGAAAAGAGATTTTCACAAGTCAACAGAAGCAGCATATTACTTCCCCACTGGGACCAAGCTCAGGTCTGGGGCTGAAGGAGTACAGCTAAGGAGACTGTTACCCTCAATAGTCTCAACTGTCCAGCCTGCACCCCTAAATTTCACATCCACCCCTAACCAAGTCAGGATGACAGACCAGCCCTACCACAACCTGGCATTTAAGTTCTTTACCTATTCAAACTGGTTTTATACTTGAAGACGACTGAACAAGGGTCGCTGGAAGTTTTCCTAAATGCACACAGTTTCAGCTAGCACCCTACCTGCCAAACTTCTAGAAATTGCAGCTGGCTTTAATTTAAATGTAACTGCACAACACTTTAAATTGCTGATTCATCAGCAAACAGCAAAAGGATCTTTCAGACTCAAGGCAGGAAGACAACAGATCCTCACCAATCCTTCTGCATTTGGTCACTAAAGTACATTGGGTTCTTTGCTGTTCTAGTCCCAGCATCTCCGAACGACTGATTATGCCACGGGACTGCAACTGCAGTACTGTCACTATAGCAGACAGGAATTCGGATGTAAAAACTATTCACCAGCAAAGTACAACACCCATTAAAACTATTCTCTGTTGTAAATCCATCAATTCCTATCCTCTACTGCACCAGACATGCTTAGAAATAATGCACAGATTCTTTCAGTAAACTACTGTTTAATATCCAGCCACCAAAATTAAATGGAAGCCTTTTTAATATAATTTTTTTAAATTGTGCATCTTGCTAACTTACTGTTGTTACCTGTTTGAACCAGAAATGGCCACATAACCTTCAGACAGTCATTTTTAGTAAATAAACCACACAGTAATAATGCGGTGCAGGACACAAACACTACAATATAAATGCTACAATAGCTATCCAGACAATAATTATTATCCTTTAATGGGAACTTAATTATAAAACCCCACATTAAATTTACTTAGAAGAACCCTAAAATAAAGCATGTTATAGACTTGTTCATTTTTCTGTCAAAATAGTGTATGTAATAGCATTCATAAAATGCAATTATGTTTTGAAACAAATGTAAAAATGACATTGCAAGTCCTATTCACATTGAATATAATAACCGTGCTCATTTTACAAGTGAAATGTTAAGGTCGTTGTCTTAATTGTCAGTCCAGCAAAGCCAGGATTTCAATGACAAGTTTGAATCCTAGCTAAAATAAAATTAAAAAAAGGAAACAGAACTTTGATACTAAAGTTGTTTAAGATAAGTGAGGAAAATATGGCACATATGATTCCCTTAAAGCTACAACTAAAGCACCTCTGTCAACAGCAGAGCACATACAGTCCAAACAGATAACAGAAGATGAGATTAAAAACTGTCACTTTTAAGAATCACTTTTCTGACTAGAACTATCTCAGAAAATCACGAAATACAGTATCACAAAACACAACACTTTAAAATAATGATTTCTCTAAAATACATAAAGGTGTGATCTGGTTTTCCCCTCACGCCAGTTTATCTATCAATTTCAACCAAGTTACTTGTGTCTAACTAAGTGGCATGCCAGAACAAGCTCCAAAGCATAGAAACAGAAGTCAGAAAAACAACAAGAAGGATAGAATCTCCCTGAGAGAATCTCAGACTTCGTTAAGAGTACCGAGAACTCAAATACATCCAGTGACCTTGACCACGAAAACTCTACAAACCTCTGCTTGCCAAAATCCTTTCTGAACTTCATCATAGACTTCCTGTTGCAAAATCTTTCTGCCCAAATACCGTATCACTGAATTGCAGACAATAACTCAACACTTAAGTAAACTTACAGTAACTTAATCACAGTGGCAGTCACTCTTTACAGTTTACATTTGGAAAGACACAGTTTCACTATGAATCAGACCCTTTGAACAAAAACCTACTTCTTCCACCATTTAGATACGTTCTGCCTGTTTCTTATCTAGAAATGTCATACTGCACCATGTGTTTGGCTTTGCAGCAGACCCTTGGAGTGGCAGGATAAAGCAATGTGTATTTAGGAGCAGTATTTTCCATGCCTGCATGAACAGTACATCATGCAATTCGGTGCCAGAAGGGAATAACTGTAAACCGGTCAAAAGTGACATTCAACACCACAAATGTGAAACCAATTTAAAAAAAAACAATTTCACTTAGCTAGCTTATTTAACTATATGGTATAGCATTTCACATAACACAGATAACAAAAATTATACCATCCACCCCCACATCCTAGAACCTTTTGTTATGGGAAAACAATCTCGGTTTACCCTAACTTGAGACTTTCAGGAACCCCTACCAACCTGACATTTCTTAATCTGAGCTTGATTTCCAGGGTCATGAATTCGATTTCTCAATGCTTTACAATCTTCAGTATTCTGAGGCAAAATAGCAGCCTGTCATTCCATCCTCATTTCCATGTCTTTAATTTTTCTTGCAGCCTTTGTAATCTTGAACCAAAGCTTTTAAACTTCTTATCCACTGCAACCTCTGTAGCCTGGATGGTGTTCAAATTTTTACTAAAAATTAAACACAAACAATACATTAAAACAACATTAAGGGTCTGACTTGTGCTCACAGAAGCCAGGAAACTCAAAGTTAAAGCTTCTCACTGCATCTGTACCCTTCCCCCTTTCGCTCCTGGCTTTCCACCACACCTGCTGTGCTGCCACCGGCCATTAACATACCAGGGAAACCAGCCGACTGTTAAGACACACACGGCACCTTGCGCAGGACAGCAGGTGTATTGTAAACAGACGTACCTGGAACAGTCGGCACCACTCATGAGGCAAACGTTTTGCCTAGGTGAGCAGGGATCTGAGGATAGTGTGTGATCTCCAATACCACCCGTGCTGGAGAGCCACGCGCTCCAGTGAGCACTGGAGATGGAGTGAGAAGCCTTAACTCTGAACTTGCTGGGTTTCTTGGCTATAAGTCAGGCCCTTAAGGTTATCTAAATGTATTTAAGGGAAAAAAAAAGTTTCCCATGACAGCTCTAATCCAACTATTAGTTTGTTTGGGTTTTTTTTCCCTCCAATATGGAAATAATCTGGTGGTGAAGCTGTTCCCCCAGTAACAGCTACCGTGCCAGTGACTGCCGAAAGTCTTCTAAAATAGTACAAGGTATAACGTGCACACACAGACAGACAGAGCAGTTGTCCGTATGTAGCAGCTATTCGCCATGTGGCTAACAGAAGAGTGCCTTTTCAGAGCTGCAATTTGGACTAGCTGCTCTTAGGAAAAAAGTATCAAAACCTTATTCTAGTCCAGCTTTTATGGAAAAAATCTTGGAAATTGAAAAAGCAGTTTTCAGCTGCAGAACCCGAGAGGAGGCCAGCCCTACACACAAGCATTTCAAGTGATTGTGGCTCTCTCGCAAACCAGAGGATTAATGAACATATCACCCAGCTTCGTAACCAAAACTGGAGAGGACGGCTCGTGAATTATTACCTCCACACCTCTGGCAGCATGGGGACTTACAAGTTATCAGACCACCTTAGCACGAGATATATTTTTTTAAACCTAAAAGAAAAAAAAAGAGCGGGCTAGTTTCCTCCCCCCTCCCAAATCCTACCTGAACCTCCTGTCGCTCCTGAAACAAAGGTGCACCTTTGTGTACCACGCTCCGAGGGGGAGAGTTGAAGCCAATACCATTTGACATACTCACAACTGGAGGATAAGAAAGCTCTCCCTGACATACTCCAGGCTGTTATAATTTCTTTTAA